GGCGCCGCGCTCCGCCCTCCGCCGGCCCGAGCCGGGCAGCGCCCGGGGCCGCGCCGCCTGGCAGCCTCCGCCCGCCCGGGGCCTCGCCGCTCCGGCCTGAGGGCGGGCGCAGGGCCGACCCGGAGCCGCCGCCGCCGCCGCCGCCGCCGCCGGGGAGAGGAGGAGGAGGCGCGGACAGGCCCGGCTCGCCGGAGTTGTGCGGGCTCCGCAGGGCGCGCGTGTGGAGCCGGCCGGCGGCGAGGAGGGGGTTATAGCGCCGCCGCCGCCGCGCCCCTCCCCCGCCCCCTCCCCCTCGCCTCCCCCGGATTCCGGGCCCCGGACCCGCACCTCGGAAGCGCGCGGGGGCCGCACGGGCCGGGCAGGGCCCGGCCGCCGCCGCCGCCGCCGCAGTGAGCACACACTGGCGTTCACGCAGGCAGTAAAATCCATCAAAGCCCCGCGCCTGGCTCCGAGCACAGCCGCCGGGCTCCGCTCGCCCGGCGGGGCTCCCCGCGCGCCCCTCCCTCGAGCTTGCCCACCCTCCAGTGCCAGCTGCAATCCTGCGGCACCGGACGGGGAGGGGAGGAGGCCGCCACAGAAGAGCCGCCGTCGCCGCCTCGCCTCCCTCGGGCCCCAGCGGCGGCCGAGGGCAGCGCCCGGAGCTGCTACGCCAAAAAGGGCAAAAGCGAACCGGCTCCCGCCTCCGGCCCCCCGCCCCGGCGCTCGGGCCTCTTTCCACCGTTAGGATCCAGGGCTCCTGCCTCCCCGTCTCCATAAAAGGAGGGGGAGTGAGTTTCTGGTGAGAGGTGGGGCGGGTTTAGGGGCGCGTCTGGGGCACTCACCTGGCGGCTGCCACGCGCCGCCGCCCAGAATCCGATGCCTGGGGCGTCTGAATGAGGAACCTCCACCCGCATTCCGAGATGGGAGAGCGCCCAGGTCGGAGGAGGGGGTTGCAGTGTGTCTGGTCCCCACCCTGGGACCCCGCGTCCCCACTCCCTCGTGGAAGCCTAGGCTGCGGCCTGAGCCGGGAACTCGAGGGGGCGGAAGGGAAGGAAGAGAAAGGAGCCGCTCGCGAGGAACCCCCGGAGTCTGAGCCTCCCACGCCGGGATCCGCTGGGCGCACAGAGCGCCACCTCCGGCCGAGGCGCGGCACAGAGCGCGATGCGGGGGAGCAGCGCGCTCGAGGCCGAGGCCTGAGCCGGCTGCACCGCTCCCCTGCCACGCAAGGGCAGGTGCACCCGAGCTGGGCAGATTCCGCCCGCCTAGAGCAGGTGGGATCGGACCCCGGCGGGTCCCTCGAGGGGACAGCCGAGCCTGGAACCAGGGTTAGGAGGAAAGACGGGCCTTGCGACCCCAAAGCTAGACGGCAAGGCCCCAGAAGGCTAGGAGACTCCCTGGCCAGTGGGAGGGTGGGCGGCCGGCCGGGAATTCCGCCCGCCCCAGGCCTCCGCCCCCTTCGGCCCCATCCTGTGGATTAGGCCCGTGCCCCGCCACGGCCGCCCTCCCGCCAGACAAAGGCAGTAAAGGCGTAGCCCCGCGGGCGGTCTTTCATCCTGGGCTGGGCGGGCTCCGGCATTTCAAAGGCCAAGTCGGGAGGGCGATTTGGGGGCGCTCGCCTTCCCCCTAATACCTGGGGAGGGGGGAGGCGGGACTTCTCCTGCCCTTTCCAGAGGGCCCTGGTCTACTAGCGCCCTTCCACATGCTTTCACACCCCTGCAGCCTCCCAATGCCCCTGCCCTCCCCAGGCGGCAGCCCCACCCCACCACCCGCCACCAAGCCCGCTCTCCAGGTGTTGCGGGTGAGGAGGGTGAAGGAGGACCGAGGCAGAACCAGGGAAAGCTTGGAAACATTTAGAAGCACAGGAGGGCCAGTCCTTGTCCGTCCAGGTCAGAGGGGCACCACTGGCCGGTTTGGGGAAGGCAGCCCAACATGCACCACCAGGACTCAGGCTGGACCCCGTCTGAGCCATGCCTCTGCATCCTGACTGGGCTGCATCACCTCCATTTGAGCCTCGGATTCCTCTCGGGCAGAGGGACCTGAGGACACGCCTTCGGGGTTAAAGGCCTGGGTTCAACAGTGGGTACAGGAATGAAGGAGGGAAGGCCGCCTTGTATTTCGGCGCGGGGCTCTTCCAGCTCCAACCCCGCCACCCCTGAGCCCCTTCTCCATGCGGCACTTCAGGGGTGCCCAGCTGGAGTTTGCGGCCAGCAGGGGAGTTAAGGGGGTGTCTTCAATGGCAGTCAAGCCAGGTCCAGGGCGGAAAGAAAGGGCGAAACCTGGGTGGCTCCCCGCCCCGAACGGGAGGGGGGGGGGGGGGGTAGGGAGAGGAGCAGCGCCGGCGTCCCTCTAATCGCCCGCGGCTATTAAAACCTCCGCGAGTCGTCATAGCGACCAGACAACAGCGACTCTGGGAGGGTGGTAAACCGCACCACAGGCACCTCTGGGGGCGGAGGGGACTTAGGACACCGTGCGGGCTCCAGCTGGGGTTGGGCAAGGACCCCCAGCCCCATGCGCCCCCACCCTCCCCGGATCCCCAGAAGAAACCGGCAGAATTAGGCCCAGGAGCCCAGTTTCCAAGAATTGGACATGGAGACAGGAGAACTGACTTGACCAAGAGGTCACCAACTTAGATGAGAACCCACGCGGATAGGCTCCGTCCCCCGGCCCTGGTTCCTCCTGACACCCTGCCCAGCCCATTCAGGTTCCGAGCATCCTTTTAGCCCTTGGAAAAGAGGGGCTGGGTGAGGAGGTGGGCCGCGGATGCCCACGCCAGAGAGGGGACCGTAAGTCCGGAGGCCAGGCGCATGGGGGCTACTGCACCTGCCCAGCGCTCCTGTCCTGACCCTTGCTGGTCAGGCGTGGTCACGTGCTCTTTCTGCCTGGGATCAAGTTTCACTTCCAGCCGCTATTAGGCGGTTCACACGGTTCATTGCAAATATTTGATAATGAGGCTAAATATACATCGGAATCGGAGGAGGCGTGGGCGGCCGTGCCCAACGCGTGGGAGCGGCGTTACCGGCTCTGCGGGCATCCCCGACTGGCACCCAGCTGTGTGCGGGAGGCAGACCCGCCCTGCGCGCAGTGCCCCTGGGCCATTCTGACCCCAAGCCCAGGCACAGTCCCTGGAGGCCACCCAGAGGGCCCCTTGCGGAAGGAGGGGGTGCCACGGGGATCTCCAGGGTGGGAAGGTGCTGGTGGGAGGTGAAGGTGCACCTGGCTGATGGTCGGGATGTCCGGTCGCCCCCAGAGCCGGTGCTTCCGGGCTATCTCGGGCGTCTCCGGCGCGCCCCGACATGCCTGAAGGCCCATAATTAAAGTGAGTCAGGTGCTCCAAATAGGCGGAGAGAGGGGCCGCCATGCAGCTGGGGTGACTGGTTGGGCGTCCGCCCCTCCCTGGTTGCCTGCCGGCACTGCCCATGACCCAGAAGCCAGGGAGCAGTGGGAAGGGCCTTGGCTATTCCTCAGAGCAAAGTAGGGGGCCTGTGGGAGGGGCATCTGCCTTTATTAAGCACCTTCTGTGGTGTGCAACCTGCATGTCCCCCTAAACCCACCTCACTGCCTATGTGCCAGTGCCTACCTGGGGCCTGGCTCCAGGTGATGCTCCCTTATTGCTATGATGTTATTTCCCCGTGGGAGTCATGACTGACACCCACTGAGCACCTCAGGCCCTGCATGATTTCATTTCACTCACATAGACACCGAGGAGCAGTGATCTATCCCACCTCTCCCCATTTTACAGATGGGAACACTTAGAGCCCAGGAAGCCGGGCCATTTGCCCACAGGACCAGGGCCGAGACGTGGCCCGGCCCCCGGGGAGCAACTCTGATGGCACGGACTCCTCTGCACAAACCCTGTTAATTCACCGAAGCAGAATTCCTCAGGTGGCGTTTGTCCCAAGGCTCACAGACAGGAGTGTGAAGGATGCTGGGTCCCCCAGCAGCATAAGCTCTGGGACTGGAGCCCATCCCACTTGGTCCCCAGTCCCAACGTGCACAGGGCAAGAGGGGCACACCCAAGTCCTGGCTGCCCTCTGTCCCTTGGCCTTGGCCTTGTTGTGTGTTTGTCCTTAGACTGCCTTGTCTCAGGTCTCTCTGGAAAATGGGGGTCAACCACCCTTACCACGGCCAGTGAGCCTCCCTCCCACCCAGGAAAAGCAGCCTGTGCGCGTGTGCACGCACGTGCGCGCACACACATACACGTGCGTGCATGCGAGGCTGTGGG